TTTTACAGCCATTGGTTGTCTTACTAATAGATCCAGTTTCTTGGGGACAGAGTCCTTGCCTTCTTATCCTTTTGTTCCCCACACAGTGCCTCACTCAGGCAGAGCACATACTGTTGCTCAATACTTGGTTAAATGCCTTTTCCTCACTCTCAAGTCATGATGATTGAATAAACCCCAGGCAACAGTTCTTTTTATGGCAAGGTGCTTGGTGGTGAATCCATATATAGCAAGCTGGTAAAGTACAGAATATAGTGATTACCAAGAGAGGAAGGATCGTTTCAAAACAGACTTTGTACACAGAGATGCTCACTGCAGTATTGTTTATAATAGCCAAAACCAAAACCAAAATAACAACAACAACAAAACCAAAGTGGAGACAGATGTTCCTCAGTAGGGGAGGTTGAGCAAATTAGAGTACATGCAAACAAAGAATGGGATAGTAAGCAGTTATTTTAAAGAATACGGTAGAGCCAAATGTTCAAAAAAGATACATAAGAAAAGTTAGATGGTATGATGCCATTTATGTTTAAAAAAAAAAGAACAAAAGGGTTGCATATACACACTTGACACACAGAAAATTTTTGGAAAGATACACAAGAAACTTAATATTGGTTATCTCTGGGGATGGACTGTGAAGTCAACAGTGGGACCTTTACTCTGTTACTAGCTGGACATGGTAGTGCACACCTGCAATTGTAGCACTTTGGAAGGCCAAGAAGGGAGAATTGCTTGAGGCCAGGGCAAGCCCCACCTGGGCAACATAGCAAGATCCTGTCTCTACCAAAACAGAAAAAAATGTTTACTTAATTTTTCTGTCAGTAGTTGAATTTTTTTTATTATGACTGTGTTGTTTTTATATATATTTAGAAACCAAACTAGTTATACAAGCAAGCTATCTTTGGATGGAGATGACAAAAGTTTACTCTAAAAGATGCCCCTCCCAGGTGAGGGAGGCTAGGCAAGGCAGAGGAGGGTGGAGGGGGCTGAGGAGCTGAAGGTACATGTTGCCCTTCTCTCTGTGGCTCTTGGCTGCTTCTGCTTTTGGTCAGCTGGCCAAACCAAATAGCCTTCCTGCTCTAGCCCAGGAGGCAGAGACAAGACAGACCATGAGAATATTCTGAATCACAGCCACAGAGTAACTTGAGTTAGGACTTCCTGGACATTCATTGACTACTGCCAGCTGCCACCAACCGTGCTCTGGCCATATACCCCATAGCACCTAATGGCACTGATCACATAGCTAAGGTCTCCATAGTTTTGGGGTGACTCAAGTTACTCTCTCACTCGACAACCACCAGTCAAAAACCGCCAATGGCTCACTCACCACTGCTTGTTGTATGAAGTTCAAATTTATCTTCCATTAGCATTCAGGGCTTTTCGTGGTTCCAACCCACTCTACCTTTTCAAACTTATTTGCCATGATTTCTCAGTATATAGCAACATATACAATGGCACTGCCTGGATTGGAATCTGGGCTTTACTACTTATCGCTGTGACCTTAGATAAGTCACTTATTCCTTCTGTGCCTCAGTTTCCTCATCTGGAAAATGCAGATAAGAACAGTTCTCACCTCATAGGACTGATCTGGAATTGTGTGTTAACATATGTGTGCAGCAATGTGCCTGGCACACAGTAAGTGCTGCCTCAATGTTGCTGCCTCTATTACGCTTTCCCACACTCACTCCAAGCTTCTGACTGAAATGTTTTTCCTGGTCACAGTCCTCCTCGTCCTTCAGAAGCTCTATCAGGCAATAACCCACTATGAGGTCTCCCTAAGAATCTCAGATATGTGGCTCTTGGACTTCCAGAATCAACTGGGGAACCTGTTGAAATGCACATCCCAGTGCCCAACTTCCAGAAATTACACTGAAGTCTGTGGCGTGGCTCAGAAACTTGCACCCAGGTGGTACTCATATGTGTAGTGACGGGTCACACTTGGAAAAATAGCCCAGTTAGGAAGGCCACCTTACCTTGTCTCTCCCAGGGTAAAGTCTTAGTCTTGTTCATTTTTCTGTCTTCCATAATGTCTTGTGCACATTAGGCTCCTCATAAATAATGCCTGTGGACTATTAATGACCTGCTAGGGAGAAGCGCTCACCATCTTCTCCTTCTCATGCCACTACGGAGAGTGTGGGTGCACTCATGAGAAGCTTGTGGTATAGCTGATGCCGCTTGGACCACAGATTCCCAAGCAGACTCAGAGGTTTCTCTCATGCCCATCTTTCAGTAGGTCTATAGGGAAAGCAATTCACTTAAATTTTATTTAACTTTCCATTTTGAAAGGAAGTGAGGCTTCCTCAACTAGGGGTGCCATCAGTCACTTGGGAGGAGCTTTAAAAATAGAGCCTTACCTTACCACTCCAGATTGGATTCTTGGCACCCTTTAGGTTCAAGGTAGGATCTGGGCAATTGACTAGACTCTGTAGGTGGTTCTGATCCCTTCATTATTCCTTGATTATGAACTAGAGCACTAGTCCCAGGTTATCAACCAGGGCTGTGCTTCAGCAAGACAAGAAGAGGGGCTGGGACTTTTGAGGACCCAAGGCCCTCCCCCAACCAAACTAACCTCCTGGCCTTAGTCCAGCCCTTTTCATTCCACCCCTGTTAATTTGCAAAGCAAGTGAGCAGATACTCAGTAAAGTCAAGTATCCCAGGAAGGAAACAAGACTCCTCAGTGAAAGAGGGCAGGAGTTGTCCTTAGTGGGAAGGCCAAAGCGCCCTAGAAGATCAGAAAACCTCCATTTAAAAGACAATCTTCTTCCTCAAGAACCAAAAGTTTCCTGTTATTTCCAGCTCCTACATTTCTTAGGGCACCTCAGCTCTGTGAAATAAGGTCTTGGGCTGGAATCCACCCTATAGTTGGCTTTCAAAAGCCCTTTCTGGAACTCAGCAGGAAGCACACAAGTTACTTCAAAAACAGGCTAGAAATGTTCTATTTTGTTACTTTTTAAAAGTTTCCCAAAAGCATAAAAATAAAAAGGGAGTGAAAGTTTTTGCTAGTCAATAGGAAATCCACCCCCGTCCCCTCCTCTGCCCCGGAAGCCTCACAGATTTCCTGATGTTCAAAACAAACACAGTGACTGTTTCTACTCCTTGAAAGATTTAATTCTTCCTTTAACATAAATAAGGCAGCATGAAACACCAAGAGCCCCACTGTTTTCTGCTTCAGAAGCAGCTTTGGTGCGTAAAAGAATCCTGTTTGCCCACCGAGTTCTGTTGTCTCTGTAAAAAGAAGAAGCCAGGAGGTATTTTTTCAGTGAAGCCAAGGGAGATCCAGGCTTGGTCTTGGCTTCTGGAGGCTGGTGTTTGGTTGCTGGTCTCTTCAAAGCACAATGGCATCAGGATGAAGAGGGGAAAGGCATGGGTTATAATAAATAAGGAAATATGGCCAGATTCTGGAAGTGCATCTGATGGAATGAGGGAGGGAGGCAGGGAGTGGGAGGAGTTCAGGGCTGTTGTGGAGACACACTTGAGCAGGTGCATTCCCTGGAGCACCGGGCTGGCCTGTGAGGCTGGGGAGGAACAACTCAAGCATGTGCTAAGTCTAACTTCAGCTCACACAAGAAGGTTTCCTACAGGTTTAGTTGCCCTAATCACAGCTGAGTGCTCCCTATCCTCCCCCAACCATGGATTAGCCCTGGCAGGCAAATAGTATAGTCCATGTCTCAAGTTTTCTGAGGCTAGGTGAGATCACTTATGGGGTTAAGGGAAGGAGCTCCTTTCTTCAGTTCATGGTGAATCTGGGCAACCCTGTCAAGTTGGTTATGCTGTCTAAGGGCATGGCTGGCTTAAACCCTGGAGGGAGACACAGTTGCGGTCTCAATTCTTGTGCTTCCTCCTTGACCCTCTGCAAGGGTTGTGGAGGGAATGCTGAGAGAGGAAATCTCAAAAGGCCAGTATGAAGCCACAGGTGGAGAAGAGGCATTCTGATCTTCCTGAACCAGACCTGGAGACAGAGTCCAGCTCCAACAACAGGCTCTAGAGCCCACGAAGTAACTGCAGCCCCCAGCAATGCCAAGACAACCTCTCTGAGGCCAGGGGCTTTGCCCACAGTGCTATTCCTGTGAGTCCCTGGTAGCTCTTTGGGTCTAAGCCAACTGTGTACCTGACCTGTGCAGAAAGGGTTGTTCTGTGCAGTGGTGAGGGAGATCCCTGGAGTGAGGAATGGAAGTGCTTGGAGCCTGTAGACCAGAGTTGGGTTTCCACAGCTTCCAAGCATGCCCTGCCATAGGACTGGGACCCTGAGGATAACCCAGGGCTATGGCATCCTTCACCCCTGGGCTCTGCTACTTTCTCTGAATTGGATCAGAATACAAGCCAGACCCCAGCATTTCAGGTAACCGGCTCTGTCTTTTGTACCAGTCACCCTGTGTGTTTCTTTCTCTAGATCAGCTTCCCTCTTCAACCTTTGACCTCCCACCAACATGCTGATGGTCAGAGATCAGCTTTGGAGATAATACAGAGAGGTGAGGGACAGCTGAGTTGGCACCCACCATAATAAATGACACCCACCATGCTTGGGACACAGCATGATGGACACAGGGCAGTGGAAGGGGGTGCACCCAAGTGAGACGTATAGCTGAAAAAGCAGCCAACTCTAAGATTCTGCCAGCAAGTACCCATTTCCATGTAACAGAGATATTAGCCACTTAGGGCCTTCATACTCTACCAGGTCTTTTCTCCAAAAAGTATATAAAAGTGGCAGCCAAAGTGGAACCCCTATTTCTGTGCAGGATGTGGATGAAAGGTTGTACAGTCCCATATCTATGCCTGTTAGTGCTCTGGCTGCAGATGACCAGGGTCAAGGGTTCTTAGGAATACAGGTGCTGAGTCTTAACACGGTTCCCTGTCCACATTCTTGTAAATCCTCTGCTGATAGTCAAGTACAGACTGCATCTGGGATGCAAAAAGAATCAACCCAAACCAGTGTTTGCATTGTCTCTAACTCAGTATATGCAAAGTACTCTATCATCATCCTGGTTATTTGTGGTGACCAGAAGCAAGCTGCAAAGGATCAGTCCCCAGACCCAAATGACAGCTTTACCAACAGGCCTCAATGGCATGAAAGCAAACCAGCTTCTGACTGTAATTCTATTTCCTCTGCACTGTAGGGCCTGGTTTCCTGGCAGGTTGAGCCATGGCTCTCACCAAAGCCCGCCTCATTGCCAGGGTAGGGCTTGCAGATGCTGCTAGGGGTGTGAACATGGGAGATACCCTTGTCCTGACCCCTGGGTCCCACATGCTTTACAAGATGACAGCTTTCTGGGGCAGGCTGGCATGGTCTGAGGGGACATGTAGGGAATACTCGCTGATGAGCGCTGGAGCATTCTTGAGCATCTCATAGAAGGAGTCCACCGTCTTACGGTAGAGACTTCGCTGCAGGACGAAGGGCCGGAATAGGTTGAGAGGCTCGGCCCTGCGCACGGCCTCAGGGAGTCCCATGGCCTCGGGCACCCTGTGGTTGCCAATGAAGAAGTGATGAAGTTTTTTTTCAAGCAGGCTTTTCTCCAGGAAGCAGAGCAACTCTTGCAGACGCACATCGAGCTGCCCAGCCTTCCAGTCGGTGGCCCGCCGGAGAAGCAGGAGGTGCAGCAGGGCCGTCTTCAGGTGGTAGTTGCTGAGCCCACTGGGGCCAGTCAGGCGGCTCTGCTTGGAGAGCAGGAAGGAGGCAATCTGCAAGCAGCTGAGGTGGCAGGCACCCTCAGGCAGAGCTTTCGATGTCATCCTGAGGAAGTGTCGCTCATAGACAGCAAAGGACAGGAGCCAGTCTGTGCTGGAGGCCAGGGTCTCCTCTGAGGGCTCCCTGGGAAGGTGTGAGACAAAATACAGGTCTGAGTCATCACACTGGATCACCGGAATCAGGTTGAAGGGCATGAACTTCCCTGAGCGGAACCTGATCTTGAGCGACCCCGGGCTGTCCAGCTGGCCAAAGGCCAGGTCGAACTCATACTTGTGGGCAATGCGAAGCCAGGCTCTGGTGAGGGCCGTCTGGAACCACTTCATGACCTGCATTGTGTCCAGATATGGGGACTCTCTAGCACACAAGAGGTCTTCCATCTCACCACTGGGCTGCACAGCATTCTTCTTGCTGTGCAGGAGACAAAGCATGTCTTCCCCAAGCTTGGTCTTGCCGCAGATACAGCCCAGTGCATCCCCATCAGACCCTATCACCTTGATCTGGCCATAGCCCTGGCGATCCAGAGGCACTGATCGGCTGGAGAACCACAGCTCTGGGTGGAAGTGGTAAGGCTCTGGGGGTGTGAAGGGCACAAAGAGGTGGCACAGCAGTGGCCTGTCCACCTGCCAGTTCTCGTACATGCTGTCCACGCCAATGAAGTCTTCCACCTCCATGTCGGTGTCCCGGTTGCAGAGGCTTCTCAGTGCTTCCAGTAAGTCATCAACAAAGCCTTCCACGAACTCCCGGGTGCGGGTGGCATCAGCCGTGGCCCCACGGATGCAGCGCTCATAAAAGTGACTGAGCGTGGCTTTGTTGGGCAGGGTGAGACCCCGCAAGGGGGCACCCCCTAGCCCAGGCAGCTCGTCCTCGTCACCGCCTGGGCACTCCAGCGAAGGCCCTTCCTGGTGGTCCTGCCTCCACACCTCGATCATCAGGAAGAGGATCATGCAGAGGGTGCTCCAGAGGTCCCAGGCCCCGTGAGTCTCATTCTGCTGCTTGCTCTCCTCTGATATCTGCTCCAGGGCCTCCTTCTCAGTCGCCAGGCGCGCTACCTCCTCCTCCAGGCGCAGTTGCTCCAGCTGCAGCTTCTCCTGGTGCGCCTGCATCTTGCGGATGATCTCTTCCTCGTTCTCGGGAACCGTGGCGTTCTCTCGTGGGAACAGCAGAGGGTGGTTGATGATGGCGGTCACCACCACCAGGCACACCCGGAAGAGCCCCATGGCCATGACCACAGCTTCCCTGGGAACAGAGAGAGACCGATGATCATGCTAAGCTTCCCTCAGTACCACTTCTTCCCTGGACCCTCTCACGAAACTCGGCCTCACAGGGCTGGTGAATGTCCTAGTTCTCCCAGCCAACCCACTGCTCGCCTCCCTGCAATCGCCTCAGATGCCCGTTAGTCCAGCCGTGGAAGAAAGAACCCCAAAGGCCTACATCTGGGGTGGACATCTCTTTCTGCCTGCCCAGACATTCCTCTTGATGGCAGCAGCATCCCACTGTCCCTGGAAACCATCCCTTTCCTCCTGCCAATCCTTATGACTGGGGCATGTATAAATCCACCTCCAGGAAAATCAAATTATTCTACCACACTCCTCTGCCCCGCCCCTTAGCTACAGCCACAGTGATTGGTTCTTGGATAAGCAAATGACCCAATTGGAGACAAATGCAGGACGCCTGGGGACCAATGTGGAGAACAACTTATCCTGTCGCTAGGATTGTGGAGGGAATAGGAGTACACCTGCAGTGGGCTTTCAGGAAGGGGAGTCTGCCTGAGAAAGACCCACACAGAGGAAAGCAGACCTGTCCCCAAACCCCCATTCAGCAATACCTGAAGCCATTATTTCTAGGCTTTTAAGTCATGTAAGTCAATAAAGAAATCCTTTTTAAGTCAGAGCTGGTTTTCCACTACTTGAGACCAAAATAGTTCTGAATAAAACATCCCCTTCGTCCCTCAGTAGTAAAACTAGTGGTTGAGAGAGAGAAAGAGTGGCTGGGCTCTGTGGCTCAGCCTGTAACCCCAGCACTTTGGGAGGCCGAGGTGAGTGAATTGCCTGAGCCCGCGGGTTCGAGACCAGCCAGGGCAACTTGGC